GAGATTGAGACCATCCTGGCTAACACAGTGAAACCCCATCTCTACTAAAAATACAAAAAATTAGCTGGGTTGGTGGCACGTGCCTGTAGTCCCAGCTACTCAGGAGGCTGAGGCAGGAGAATTGCTTGAACCCGAAAGGCAGAGGTTGCAGTGAGCCGAGATCGCCCACTGCATTCAGCCTGGGTGAATAGAGCGAGACTATCTCAAAAAAAAAAAAAAAAAAAATTAGCATCAATTTCTAGAAATATAGGCTGCTGGTATTTTAATTGGCGATATATTTAGTCCATAGATCAACTCGGGGAGAATCAACATCATTATATCAAATCCCCGCAATCCATGAACACGGTATGGTGTATCTCTCCATTATTTAGCTTCTTATTGTTGTGGTATATTTTTTAATCCAATGAAACATTAGATCTTACATAATTACCACTTTATTGTGTTTCCATTCCTTATCTATCTCTTACCCCTCCATCTGGTTCATTTTCCCTTCTACCTGAAAATTTTACATTAGAATCCTTAGTCGAGACAAGATGACTCATGCTGTAATCCCAGCAACCTGAAGAGACCAAGGTGTAAGAATTGCTTGAGCCAAGGAGTTCCAAGACCAGCCTCTAGGCAACATGGTGAGACCTCTGCCCTATAAAAAATTAATCAGGCCAGGCATGGTGGCTCATGCCTGTAATCCCAGCACTTTGGCAGGCCAAAGTGGGCAGATCACCTGAGGTCAGGAGTTTGAGACCAACCTGGCCAAAATGAAATGAACCCCCATCTTAATAAAATATCCAAAAATGGTGCTCATGCTTGTAATTCCAGCACTTTGGGAGGGCAAGGCGGTGGGCAGATCACCTGAGGTCAGGAGTTCAAGACTAGCCCTGGCCAACATGGTGAAACCCTGTTTTATTAAAAATACAAAACATTAGCCAGGTGGTGGTGGTGCATGCCTGTAATGCCAGCCTACTTGGGAGGCTGAGGCAGGAGAATTGCTTGACCTAGGAGGCAGAGGCGCAGTGAGTCGAGATTGCACCACTGCATCCAACTGGAGCAGCAGAGGCGCCCGCACCACGCCCGGCTAATTTTTTGTATTTTTAGTGAGACGAGGTTTCACCCATGTTACCAGGATAGGTCTCGAGCGCCTGACCTCATGATCCGCTGGCCTCGGCCTCCCAAAGTGCTGGGATTACAGGTGTGAGCCACTGCGCCAGGCTTTTTTTTTTTTTTTTAACTGGGACCCAGACTTTGGTGAAGCTCACAGCAGCTTTGAACTCCTGGACTCAAGCAATCCCTCCTACCTCAGCCTCCAGGTAGCAGGGACGACAGGCACGCACACCGCCCGCTAATTTTAAATTTTTCATAGAGACAGGGTTTTGTCATGTTGCCCAGGCTGGTCTCGAACTCATTCCTGCCTCAAGCATTCTTCTGCCTTAGCCTCCCAAAGTTTGGGGATTACGGTGTGAGCCACCGTGCCAGTCCTCGTGCACACTTTTAAAGTTTTACTATGTTTTGCCAATTTTACATGTTTTGCCAATCCAGGTTTATACCTAACGTGAAAACGTGGACAGCCCACATTCCAGTTTTTTTTGTTTTGAGATGGGATTCTCCCTCTGTCGCCCGGGCTGGAGTGCGTGGTGTGTTGGCTCTTCACTGGCACACTCCACCTCCGTGGTCAAGCAATTCTCCCTGCCTCAACCTCCTGAGTAGCTGGATTCACGGACACAGGCACACATGGCCAGCTGATCTTTTTGTATTTTTTTAGTAGAGATGGGGTTTCCATGTTGGCCAGACTTGTCTTGAACTCTGATCTCAGGCAATCTACTGCCTTGGCCTCCCAAATAGGCTGGGATTACAGTGGTGACCACCCACACCCAGCTTCCAGCT